TATTTTTAAGTTTTTGGAATGTTTTAAGGTTGGGGCACTCACATGAACCCCACTGCTCTCTAGCCCTGAATGTATAGCATTAGAGAACTCGTCCTTTAAGTTACAGAGGGCAAAAAATAAATTAAAAAAAAACAAAAGGAGCGGTAGTGACTAAAGGTACACAGCTAAGCAGTGAAACAAGGAATAGTCAGTCTGCCTAATATACCACATTGCTGCTCATTTAATTCAATTGTATCCAGGGCCATGTAGCTTAATCATAAGTTTAGTCAGAAGCTGGGCATAATGACACACACCTGTAATCCTAGCACTTGGGAGACTGAAGCAGGAGGACCTTGAGTTAGAGGCCAGCTTGGGCTACATAATGACACCAATCTCAAAAAAAAAAAAAAAAAAAATAGAGCAGCCCAGTCAAGGCCACCTAACATCCACCATCACCATATGGTTCATGCACAAGCTGAATTTCCCACAAAAGTGAAAACATGCTGGCATATACTGCATTTGATCACATTCTAATGTTGTCTGACCCCAGGAAGGGGTTCTTCCCTCCAGGGAGGGGAGAAACTGCCATGGCAAATCCAAGACAAGGGCTTCCACTTCCGTCCTGTGAGAGATTGGAAGACACATATCACAAACACAGGGACATGCCACCCACAAGGAGTCACTTCCTCTGCCATATCCCAGTACCGCACCAGGATACGCACATCTAGAAGTGGCAGCGAAAGTGAGCTGTGAGGGAGAGCAGTAAGAGAAAGCAGTGGCTCTATCAAGGAGGCGGCACGGGTGGAGGGAACAGGCAGAACACTATTCTTTTAACTTGGGCTGCATTTCCAGTTTTAATCTAAAAATACGTGTATCATTCTGGGCATTTTCTTCCCAGCCACACCCTATCTCTTTAACCCTAACGTACTGACTGACGAAGGCGATAGCAAAGACATCCTTTGTATATGAAAATCCTTTTCACTTTTTTATTCTTCCCCTTAAGCTAATTAACAATGTTTAATTTATTTCAGGCCAAGGACTGGCTTTTCCTATTCTGCACTCCATTTTAATCAACAGAATGTAACTAACAAGCTTAAAAGCCATTCAATACTGAATCAGCAGCTCATACCATATGCTGAGGGTAAAAACATACTTCCCCCAAAAAGCTAAATGCAGAAAGACCAAGGATAGAAAACGTATTTAATACTCAAGAAGTCTAACAGGATGTGCTTAGTACGTGGAACACGGAGATTTTAAGGGGAACAAGTTATTCTTTAAATATATCTACCCTAGTCACTGGACTAGCTGAGTCTGTAAAGCCTGAGAGAGACTCTTAAATATATCTACCCTAAAACGTTTTTCCTTTACCTGTTTTGACACAAGTTTTAAACCCTAATCACTATTTTAAGAGGGGAAAATCTAATTACAAAACAATTACAGCATTTTGGATTCTTAAGTATTTTAAAAGGCAAAAAACAAAACAAAACAAAAACCCAAGTACTTTTTTCTAAAATGTGATGTGGCCAACAGATTTCGTGAGAATAGTATGGTTGAGTTCCTAATCCCGGATATTTATGTATTCAGCTTTATTCTGTTATTACCTAAATTTATGTTTTGAGAAGGAATGGAAAACCAAACCAAATTACACTTAAAATTTTTCAACATAATTGTCTTTGACAGGTCAGAAATTAGTTTATTTGCTTTACGTGCACCATCCAAAAGGAAGGGGACTGTAATTGAAGGCCTGGCTGTCTCATTAGCATATTCATGTAATAAGTACAGCCTAAGTCTGAAACATCTTTAAGCAGATCTGTTATGTTTCATCACTTTCAAAAATGTCTTAGAACTAAACACCAAGCCTCTCACAGAGGAATGAAAGTAGCCTGATGTTCAGCATTTGATAGGCTTGGAAGCAGCACTAGCTTGCTCCATTTCGTGTAGCCCTAGCAGCTAAAACCACTAGCTGATTTCCATTTTAAACATGCTTTTATGCAGCAGTCTAAACACACTCTTTCACAGCCAACCAACGGATGAACTATTTCACTGGGATCCAAAAATTGCTTTCTGAACTATATAAAAACTCCTCTGAAGCCAGGCATGGTGCAGCACTCAGGAGGCTGAAGCCCGTGGATCAAAAGTTCAAAGCAAGCCACACTACACAGCGAGACCAGGTCTCCAAAACAAAACCTGCGCATGCACACACACACACACACACACACACACACACACACCACCCTTCCTGTTCATTTGGCTCTCTTTCCAATCTTTGGTATCCAAAGAAAAAAAGCTAATGTAATGCACTCTAAATTATCAATGATGAAGAAAAATAACAGTAAAATGTTTTAAAACATTTTACATGTAAAAACAAAATTGCATAGCTTAACAATACTGTAAAGCAGGCACCTGCAAAATCACCACTTGGGTCAAAAAATAGAATACAGCAGCCCTCCGGAGGCCCTACTTTACCCTCTCCATCAGCCCCCCTGCCCTACACAATGACCAGGGCATTACACAATCACCAAATTACATGATCACATTTTTTTTTTTGGCAGCACTGGCATTTGAACTCAGGGCATCACTCTCGTAAGGCAGCTCTTAGCACTTGAGCCACTCACCCAGTGCGATAATTACTTTCTTGTTTTTCCTTCATAGTTTCCAGGTTCTCTGAACACACCCCTAAACATCACCTGTTTATGTATCTTTTTTACATCATTTCTTCTGCCTCATGTTTTAAGGTTCCATCATGTTAGAATACGCAGCTGTAGGTCATTTTCACAGCCAGATTATCAGATGCTGGGATGCGTCTCTAGAACATGCCCCTAGGATTAGAACAGGTTTATGCCCACCAGCAGTTGCCACACCCTCACCAACACTGGGCACGGTCGCTTGAAATGCTTATCAATCTGGAGGGAGGAGGGCAGTAAGGAGTGACCTGACCTGGTTTTCATTTTCATTTTCCTGTACAGTGATTGAAGCCTTTTTCCTATCTATGACCAGATTTCCTCTGAAACTTTTTTCAAAAAGCTTTACTGGTGCAATTAATACACCATATGATCGTCTTACTTAAGCATACAACTAGATGGTTTTAGTATATTCACACATGTAGAACCATCACTAATCTCAAAACTTTCATCTCACAAAGGAACACCGACCCCATTAGCTACCACTCCCCCAACCCTAAACCACTATCTAGTCTCTGGCTTTCTCTGAACTGTCACATAAAGGGAACCGTCTGATGTCGACTCCTGTAGCTAGCTTCTTTGGCTTAGCACATTTTCAGGGTTCATCCAAGCTTTACCATGAATTACTTCATTTTTATGGCAGAATAATATTCCACTGTATGGATATACCATCTCCTTATACACTCACTGATAGACATTTGGGTTGTTTTTACCTATTGAATAATCCTATCAGCCTTTGTATGCAAGCTTGTGTATGAACATGTTTTATTTCTTAGATACACATATAGAAGAGGAGCTACTGGGCCTCCTGGTGACTTTTGAGAACCTGCCATATTGTTTTCCAAAGCAGTTGTACCACTTTACATTCCCAACAGGACATGAGGTTTCAATTTATCCAATTCTTGCTAACAATGATCACCTGACCTTTTAACTATCCTAATTGATGGTTAAGTAGTTGTCCCTTGAAGTTTTGAGCTGCATTTCCCTGATCTCAAATTTTCATATCCTTATTGGTCATTTGCATATCCCCTTGAAAAATATCTATTAAGATCTTTGGTCCTTTTAAAATTGGGCTCTTTTTATTATTGAGCTGTCTGGAGACTTTTAAAAATAGTTTTTGCATTTACTTACATGTGTATACATTATTTGGGCCACCTCCCCCCTTCCCCGCCTTATGGCAGAGCCTGTTCTGCCCTCTTTTTCTCCAATTTTGTAGAAGAAAAACATGGTGATTTTGCTTGAGTTTGAGATAAAAGATAGCTATATAGAGAGATTCCTATCGTTGCTTCCATGTACTTGAGTACTGCAACCCACATTGGTTCATCTCCACGAGACCTCTTCGCTACTTCCTGGTCCCCTTCCCTAGTGGCCTCTGCCAGTTTAAGATTACTATATTCGCTCCTCTACAGTGAGCACATCAACCACATTCAAGATTTAGGTTTCCTTCCCCTTCCTTACCCCTCCTGCGTGTGGTCTCCCCTTAGTGTGACCCGTGTCCAATATTACTCTTAGGAGTCTGGAGACCCTTAATTAACCCTTTTCTTAGTGATTTTATATAAGTTTATTCTAGATATAAATTGTTACTTTATGTAGTATCAATGTTCTCCAAAAATGGATCTTCTTTTCACTTTGTGGTGCCTTTTAATGAAGTACTTAATCCAATACAGCTAAATGTGCAAAAACATTACGATTTTTTGGGGGGATGTGATAAGGAATTTTTCCCTAAGCTAAGGAAATATTCTTTTCTACATTTTTTACAGAAATAAAAAAACTAAGTACTAAAAGCTTAGTAGTTTTGTCTTGAACATTTGGTCTCAAATTCACCGGAGTTCATTTTTATGTGGCATGGAGTAGGGCCACTTTTGTTAGTTTCTGCATGAATACCATCCTACTGCCATTTATTGAAAGCCTGTCCTTTTTGTCCTTTTTCCCTCACATTCTACAGAACCAGTCAGCCACTAATTCTCAATCCCTCCATGTCTTTCCTGTAAAGTAAGAGTAGTGGATTAAATCAGGTTTCTCAAACTGAAAGGCTTTATAAAAATCCAGATTTCTGTCTCACCATAGATGAGCGATGGGAGAATGGCAGACAGGGTGAAGATCACACTCCAATTCTGGATTAATAAATTCTTTGGTCAACGTGTGTGCAGCTAACCTGGCTCCTGCCAGATTAGATAAAGATGGACACAGAGAGCATCACTGGGAATGCTCTCCATGGTGTCCTCAGCTTTAAGACTCTATACTTCACAAGGTCCTTGGCTACTTATTTATAATGGTAAGAGTCATAATTGCAAAGAAATAAAACACACTCACATTCCTTAAACTACATGGTTTTATTTATAAAATTCAGCCTGTGGTTAACTATTGCCCACATTCATTTAAATAGTCCTCAATTACAGCACTCAATTTTCAAAACACAAATCTTTGGAAATGTACTCAGATAAAGCAGTACTAAATATTTTATTAAACTGATACCTGGGCACTGATAGTCAACACTATGGAAAAGGGTTAATGCAAAATGTAAAAGTATCGCAGACAGTAGCTTATCCATATTATCTTCATTCCACTGGTGGGGTTTTCTCACGTAGTAACCTTTATTCGTGAAATAAGTTCATTTATAAAACTATTATTCTTTGCCATCACCTCAGCTTTCAACTGTTTTAACTTTTTTGCGATGTTTTCTTCCGACATTTCAGTAAAGGGCACTTGCTTCACCTTGGCTAGAAATTCCTGAATAATTTTTTCACCTTGCTGGAAAACATGTGAACATTCCAATAGTCATTAAAATGTCATTTCTAAAAGTTGTATTAGACAGCAATGAAATGAAATTAAATCTCAATTTAAACACACTACCCAATATTTAAAGACCACTTTTATTATTATAAGTGTGCAATGTCTAGAAAACATAGCAAAGCCCTCAGTTGCCACCAATAGAAATTCATCAAAATGACATTTATAAATTTCTTTACAGCAGGTAATGACAAAAGGATTGAAATTTAAAGTTCTCAAATCCCTCTTTTATATTAATATACAAACTTAATTCTCTGAGGACAAAAGAAGTCAAGATTTACAAAGAATACTGTAAGGTATAAACAGTCAACTGAAGTTTTTCTCCCTTCTCTCCTCTTCTCTCTCTCTCTCTCTCTCTCTCACACACACACACACACACACACACACACACACACACACACACAGCTTCCACTTTAGTGTACTATCCAGTTATTGCTATTCCAAAAGACATGGTTAGCCAGGTACTGGTTGCTCACGCCCGTAATCCTAGCTACTTTGGAGGCTGATATGGGGAGGATTGAGGTTTGAGGCCAGTCCAGGGTAAATAGTTTTTGAGACCTCACCTCCAAAATAACCAGCACAAAATGGACCAGAGGCATGGCTCAAGTGCTAGAACACCTGCTTTGCAAGCTGGAGTCAAGTTCAAACCCCAGTCCCATCAAAGAAAAAAATTTTTTAAGGTATCAAAATACAAGACTTCTAATCAAAAAACCAGACATTATACAAAAAAGCCTGCCTAATCCCACATCAACAAGAGCAAGAATGGTTTGATACATTACTGAAACAAAAACCATTTCATGTTTAGGATGGTAACCTTCCATACCTCAAAGTATTAACAGATTATAATATTTTTCCAGTTTATATACCAACTATCAAGCATGAAAAAACAACAACAAAATTCTCTGGGTAAAAGCTAAAACTGTAGTAAGTAAAAAGCTGTCACAACGTACACCACAGTAAATGTTGCCAGGACAGGCAGTGCATTAAGATTCTTTTACTTTTATTAATGAGCAAGCCTTCAACTAAAAAAAAAAGAAAGAAAGAAAAAAGCATATGTTGCACCTCTGTAAATTTGGGCCGTTAGCTTACAAAGGCCTTTTCCCATGAAAATAAACACCTTGCCCACACATAGCTTTCTTTAATAAACATTTGTCATGTACCACTGTATACTCTTAGGACAAATTCATTATTCTCATCTGTTCAACTATTTTCTAAATCACTGGAGGAAGGGATTATTTCTTTTCATTTTCTTGTTATTATCCTACCCAGGTAAATATGCAATTTAACTGCGCACTTATAGCTCCTTTGAATGAGTTTTCTTTCCTTTCAGTCCTTGGGTTTGAACCCAGGGCCATGAGCACGCTAGGTAAACACTATCACTTGCACTACGCCCTCAGCCCTCCTTTGAGTAATTTTAAATCTGCATTGATGTTCCCTCACTCCTACCATTAAACCTGGTGCCTGAAAATGCACTCTTATCCAGGGGGAGTGAAAAGGACTGAACTACACGTGCTCCACACTTAGTTACATCTGCAACCCTATCTTTTCATCTTTTTGCTGATGTACACTGCAAAAATCAAATTAGCAGAGATGGATTCTTGGTCAAGCAAAGAAATAAGAGTGAAAGTCAGTAAGAATGATGAAAAAAGTAAACTAGAATTAAAGGGGGGAAAAAACCCCCTCGATCTTGGTTACTTGGTTTATTAAGTAATTGTAAAAACAAACTGACAGGGGCACCAGTGGTTCACACCTGTAATCCTAGCTATTCAGGAGACAGAGATCAGGAGACTGAGGTTTGAACCTAGCCTGGGTGAATAGTTCACAAGACCCAATCTTTAAAAAACCCATCACAAAAAAAGGGCTGGTGGAGTGGCCCTGAGTTCAAACCCCAGTACCTTTAAGGAAAAAAAAAAAAAAAAAGACAAACCTCTCTTTCCAGATAGCACCTCTTTGCCGCTGGTTCCATTTCACTGCGCCCTTGTGAGGCTCCGATATTCTGAAACTCCTCGAGCTCCAGAGCTTTTTGCTTGGCGCACTCTATTACGTGCTTGGGGAAATTTGCAAGCTCTGCAACATGAATTCCAAAACTCTGATCACAGACACCTATGAGAGATTGAGGTGGGGTAGGTGAGGACAAGGAGAGAGCCATCATTTATGTAAACAGAATTTACCCTTCTTACCTTGGCATCAAAAAACTTGAATGTGGATTATTTCAAATATATTAGTCAAATGTTTCAGAGAAACTTAGATAAAAGAATTTTAATTAAGCCTCAAATGAAAAACGATTATGATTTGACACACAGTACTGTATTTTATCTTTGACAAGTATAATAGGAAAAATAAAAATAACCAAGGAAAAGCTTGGCAGACATTTTCAAGGTCCTAGTATTTTAATCTTAAAAAAAAAAATCAACCCCCTATCTCTAGTTTTCTGATTTCATGAAAAAGAAACTATAGTACAAAGAAACACACACACACACAAAAAAAAAACAAAAATAGAGGGCGGGAAGAGATACATATAAGTATCACTAAGAATAGCATTTAATTCAAAATATGACCTATTAAATTAACAGTGACGTTTTAGCCTTTGGATCTAACAAAATAATTTCCTAGAGATCAAAAGCAACTGGATAATTTAGAAGAATTAACAATAGTTTGAAGAATTTAAAGTATCTTTCTTGGAAGTTATTTACATTCTTAAAAGACAATGGAATTTTTTACTCAAATTAATGAATAAATTTATAGATTAGGTAGCTTACCTTTATTCCCATTTGTAAGAAATAAACTGAATTAAGACAGTCTTTCTAATAAGCATTTAATACAAACAATGGTTGCAAAATTATTATATAGCTTCTGGCTTTGACTCAGTTATATGTCAACTATGAAAAAAGGTTGGTCTAGTTATTTATGCTACGCATTCTAAAGCTGCAAATGCTGCATAATTGAGAGATAAACACAAAATGAAGTAGAAGTATCTGATACACAATCCCAGTGAAGGAAGAACTTGATGCTATCTTCTCTGCACATCACATGGACTTCACACACACGCACGCGCACACACACACACACACACACACACACACACACAGAAATGATTTAAAAGGAATACCACAATTTCATGCTAAATTCATGATCAGGACTAGTGGAGTGGCTCAGTGATAGAGTGAGCTCCGGCCTAGCAAGTGCGAGGTCCTGAGTTCAGACCCCTCCTCAATGGCGGATCAGATCCAAGTGCCTGTATTCTCTAACAGCAACAGTGCAAGCACTGACTCAAAAAAGGATTTCCACTGAAGAATGAACAATGAAGGACAAAAGAATGGGAAATCAGAAAACCACTAAAAAAAGTCATTCTGATGACTGGTGAAATTAAGTCATACAGTATGATAAAAAGAAACCTTATAAAACCTTACAGTGTGTTAGCCTCACCAACTCAGTAATCTGAGTCTGAGTAGGTGCTGTAAGCACAATCAACAAGTTTTTCCAAAAGGATGAAATACCAACAGATAAGCCACTCCATAGGTCATTAGAAACAATTTCAGGATATCTGGAACCCCTAGTTTGGATGAACCCAAACCATTTCAATAACCCAACCTTAAAGATACTATAAAATAATTACAACAATTTTTTTTTTTGAGATAGTTTCCAAGCATGTAACTCAGGCTGACCTCCCACTCGTGATCCTCCTCTCATAGTACTGGGATTACAGATGGGATTACAGGATTGTTTCACAACATCTTGCTACAAGAAATATTTTATTCAGCAGTAACATTTAGAACCTGGAATTTCACAGTATACTAATTATTATTATCTAAAAGTTAATCTATCAAGAAACATACTGCTATGAAGACAGGTAAATCCCTCTGTGGGGATATTTAGACATACAAATTATTCTTTCTGCAATTGCTTTAGAATGTGTGGTCCTACTATGACACAAAGAAATGTAATGTACAATGCTTCTACCGCTAGGCTGGAAAGTAAATATGTTCTATAAAAACATCAATGAAGCTGGCTACAGGAGGACTGAAGTTTCAGGCCAGCCCATGAGACCCCATTTCCAAACTTATCAGGGCAAAATGGAGTGGACGTGTGGCTCAAGCAGTCTAGCACCTGAATCCAAATCCCAGCCCTACCAATCAATCATCAATCAATAAATCAATCAATCCTAACTTAAAAGAAACAAGGCAATTACTAATATTGCAAATGCACTGAGTTTCCCATGTCATGCTCTCATTTTAAACAGCAGTGACACATACTTACCTCTCTTCACCTGATAAAGCATAGTTAAGGTCTCTTCAGTGGTTAGTGCCGTGACATGTAGGTTGTTAACGATGGGAATCTGACTGGCCAGTGCAGTAAGTTCATGGAAATGGGTGGCAAACATGCAAAAAGCGCCAATCTTTGTTGCGATATAGTCTGATATAGCCCAGGCTAACCCAAATCCATCATAAGTAGAGGTTCCTCTTCCCAATTCATCTATGATTATTAAAGAATCTTTGGTTGCAGACCTGAAACACATTAATCACATGGAGAAATTTCCATGATATAAAATGTGATGACACCAAAAACAAAACTAAGACACTGGGAAAGAAAGACATGCCATAAATACAACAATGTATAAAAATTTAAAAAAAAAATTCAATAAAAAGCACTAAAACTTTAGCAGAAAGAGGCATGCACACAAACAAAAACTGATGGAAGAGGAAACAAATGGTAAATAAATCTTTTTTAAGTTATCAAACTAGTAGTAATCAAAGAAAATAAAGCAGCCATCATTCATTTCACACCAATCAAATCCGTCAAGAGTAAAAAAGTATGTAAAACTGGTGTGGAGGCATGGCTGAGGTGGTAGAGTGACTACCTAGCAAGCAGGAAACCCTGAGTTCAAACCCTAAGTACTAAATCCCTCTCCTCCCCCTGCCCCGCCCGCAAAATGTACATATAAAACTCAATAAAGATAGGACTAGGGTCTGTCAGGGAGACGCGCAAACATACTGCTCGTGCGCCTGTCACAACCCCATTATTATTGCTACTCTTTTCTATCTTTAACCAAAAGCGAAGGGATTTTTTTTTTTTTTTTGTAATTAGTGAATTTAACAGCCCTTGATGTGCTCACTCATTGTTTGTTTTCCTGTGAATTGCCAGCTTAAACCTCTCTTTTCTCTCTCTCTGGGCTTGTACATGCAAAAACATGCAAAAACTTTACCACTATGCTACATTTCTGGCCCTATTTTTCTCATCTTTTAAGTTATAAATATCAATCTACTAATTACTACACCAAAATTTGCATTGTTTTATAATCCCTTACAACCTAACAAAAGAACCTCTCAGAAATAAAATCAGCACAAAACTTACTAAGGAACTACTATATGCAAAGTATTTTAGAAGATACCAAGAAACAGAAAACAAAGTCCCTGACTACAAAGAAACTGCTAAACGGTACAATAAAGACACAGGATTTCAGTGACCTCCAAAACAAAAACCTAGCTGCGTTACAGGCATGTTAAAGAGTAATTTAGAGAAAAAACACCCATGATCCTATACTCACACAGTTAGAAAAATCATCAGAGAAGTAGAATTTTTATCACTGGGGCTCTAAAGATTGGGTGAAAGGCAGGAAGGACCATTCTAGATAGTATGAACGGTGGAAGCAAAAGCATGGGCTACCATGAAACCTTAAGAAAAGTTTTCCGTAATTACCAACAATCGCCCCTCCCCACTTTCTATGTTGCCCAAGCTGTCTCAAACTCCTGGACTCATGTGACTCCCCCTCCCCTTAGCCTCCTCAGTAACTGGGACAAAAGGCACTCCTAGCTCCAATCATCCTTTCAAGATAATATAAAGTACAAGATGGGTGGACTGTGGTTCGAGGCCAACTTGGGCAAAAAGTTAGTAAGACTGTATCTAAAAAAATCAAGTGAAATGTGCCGGCTCATGCCTGTGATCACAGCTACACAAGGGGCAAAGGTAGGGAAGTTATAGTCCAAGGCTGGCCCTAGGAAGCTCAACACCGTATCTGAAAAAGAAAGAGAAAAGGGCTGGGGGTGTGGCTCAAGAACAAGGCCCTGAGTTCAAGCCCCAGTACTGCTAAAAAAAAAAAAAAAAGTACGTAAGTTCACAAAAGACAAATGTCTTTAGATGTTTTATGGATGAATCTGCAAATGTACTTCTCATGAGATAGGTATACTCATTTCTGTTTTCAGGGGACTGGGACATACACTTACCTGAGGATGGAAGCAGTTTCCAGCATTTCAGCCATGAATGTGGAGATTCCTTTCAACTGACTGTCACCAGCCCCGACCCGTGCCAAGATGCAATCTACAATGGACACTTCTGCTGACTCACATGGCACAAAACACCCAATTTGGGCCATGAGTACTATCACTCCAGTCTGGCGAATATAAGTTGATTTACCTCCCATATTGGGGCCTACAAAACAAATTACATCAACAAGCAAGATTATTCATGTCTTTTCTGCTACTAATAAGTGGACTATACACTGATGAGTCACCCCTAAGTCACAACAATATGACAAATTAGAAACAAAACCAGAAGCCACCCAGAGAGATGGATAAGTGAAGTCACTTTGGCTTACCTGTAATTTAACTGTGGCCTACAAAGATCATGCAGCTATTTCCCCAAAGCTCACAGAGATGCCTGGAGGTTAATTTAATGACTTCCAAAAAAGTAGTACAGGCCTAATTGATTACTTAACTCAACATTTTTATTCATCAGTAAATGCAGCTGTACTAGTGGGTACGTCAGCATGGTCAAGCTCCTCATATCTTAAAATACACACCAAAGTCCTAGGACCTGACTCTTCTTTGGGGAAATGTACAACTTATTCATTAGGATTAGGTTAAATAACTTAAAAAAAAAAAAACATTTGGGGAAATAGAATATAACCATAACTGTTTCCCAAATATATCTGTGCTAAGACTCCTACCTTCCCTTTTGTTTACAGAATCTTATTAGGACCTCTCAAAACACCTCAGCTGAGACATGCTATGTTAGTCTAAACAGAAGGCTACTTATTTTGAGTTTCACATGAATAAGGGTATAGTGTCTTAAAAGAATTGCTGCCTTAAGCTGAGATTCTTCTAACATGTAAATTCTGCCTGTCCTTCAATGACCTCACTACTGAAAGGACTCACTCTGTAGTAAGCTTTGAGGGCAAAGTGATGTTCATTTTTAAATGCTCTTTCTGAACCCCTGGAATAGAAGTTTCACACAGATACAACATTCTCTCTAAAGCTTTAATCTCTCCTTCCAAATTGCCCATCTAATCCAAATGTGAATATATTACCGACAAGAATGAAAAATGTTTTTTAACTAATGTCAAGGACAGGGACTTGCTTCATCAATTTAAAACATATTCCTACTATGACATTAAAAATGGGAAATGTTACCCACACACACACAAGCCCATAAACTAGATTTTTTTTTTTACCAGTAATGATGTGGAACATCTGTTTATCTTTTTCAAAGTGCACATCATTAGGAATAAATGCAACATCATCTTGAACTTCAACACAAGCATGTCTGGACGCTTTCAATATAATTCTTCCTTGTCCTTTCTCTAAAATGACTGGTCGTACATACGGTACAGGTGCTCCATTTGACACATAAGCAAAGCTGACAACAGCATCTAGCTGAGCCAACACATCATTGAGTGTCTGCATTGGTTCTACATAGCCTGCATAGAAAGAAAAACAGGAAATGTACACAGGAATATCAAATAATAAAAAGTAGACGCAAGCTATAAGAGCTTAAAAATTCAAGCCCCACTGCCTAATTTACATACTTTAAAAAATTAAGAAAAGTTTGTTATAATGAATTTTGAAATACCTAAACTCAGCATGGGGTTAAATGTTTTACTGCATCCTTCCCCACTGTAAAAACATTTAAAAATAGAGTATTGTGGACTGGCAGGGTGGCTCAAGCGGTAGAGCGTCTGCCTAGCAAGTGTGAAGCCGAGTTCAAATCCCAGTACTGTCAAAAAAAAAAAAAAAAAAGATTTTGTAAAAAATAAAGAGTATTGTGCCTTCCTTTACCAAAATCCAATGAAAACAGCAGACTTTCAATTTTAAAGCACACTTTTTAGGGGTTTAGGAAAAGAGGGTGACACCTTACCGTCATCATAAGAAATGAGCAAGCACTCAGCAGCAAGCTGTAATGAGACTGCCAAGGCTGTGTGTGTGCAAACTAGAGGACTGTTAGCGAAGGCCTTTTCCCATCAGGATCACATACAGAGAATTTCACCATAAATTCAGAGCCCAGGTGCCATTTAAAACATTCTTAAGTTTCTACTCTGCTACAGCATTAAAGCTAAGAGCTATCACAAATTAAAAAGTCCCTGATCCCATCTAAACAAAGTGTGTGAAGACGGTATAATGGTCTAAATGCTAACAGCTTGGAGTGGCTGGCATTAACAGTCCCAACATGTCAGAGTACCACACAGACACTGGTCATATCAAATGCTTCACTGGACATTAGAAAAGTGTTTAGTTTTAGGAAAACACAAAATTGTGTGTTTAGTCAAACAGCTGGAAATCTGACTTATTTTTGGTTCCCTTGAGTACACCCCATAAAAGTGGTAATATTTTTTCTTTTTTGCAGTATTGGAGCTTGAACTCAGGGTCTACACTTTAAGCCACACCACCAGTCCTTTTTGGTGATGGGTGTTTTTAAGATAGGGTCTCACAAATTATTTGCCTGGGCTGGCTTTGAACGGTGATCCTCCTGATCTCTGCCTCCTGAGTAGCTAATTATAGGCGTAAGCCACTGGAGCCTGGCAAGAGGGATAAAATGTTTTGATAATAAAAATTACCTTCTAAATGGCTAAGTAAATGTACTCTCTTCCTCTTCTTTTACCTAACAGATTTGTTTAAAAAGGAAAAGAAGGCTAGAGGTGTGGCTCAAGCAGTAAAGCAACTGCCTACCAAGTGTGAAGTCCTGAGTTTAAACTCTAGTACCACAAAACCAAAACAAAAAAAACAAGGTGGTTACTAATTTTTATGCATGTATAAAAGGAATTATCACAATGAAATCCCCTTGCGTTATTTATATATAATTCAAAAATGAAATTTAAATTTAAGAAGAAAAAGAGTTCACACTAGCCAATCATGAAACAATAGGAACCTCTAGGAATTTAAACATAAGTAGAGTACTTACTATAATAAATTTATTTTGCAGTGCTGGCAATTGAACTCAGAGCCTTAGACACGCTAGACAAGCGCTATACCATGGAGCTATAGGCCACCTCCAACCCTTAAAATGACTTCAAAATTTGTAAAACTCCTAATATATCAAAAAGAATGCTATAATTTTTTTCAAAAAGAGCTTCTTCATTAAGAGAGCCTATACAGTCCTTAGCACTTCACATCATGTCTCTCATTAATGACACCCCTTCCTAGATTAATATTAAGATGGAAAACAAGAGCTGGGGTGGTGGCACACACCAGAAATCCCAGCACTCAGGAGGCAGCAGTAGAAGGATCACAAGTTCAGGGCCAGCCTGGCCAACATGCAAGACAATGTTGTCTCCAAAAAACAAAAACCAAAATCATAAAAATGATCTATTATATTTACTTCATAATTTATATATCAGACCAAAAAGAGGTTTTGTTTAAATTCAGGTTGACTTCAAATACAAAATTTCCAATTTAAATGTTAGAACTTAGACCTTTTAACCTGCTATGTGATGAATACTAGTTTATTTTTAAATTTTTTTGTTTTGCTTCTTGAAACAGGGTCTCACTTTGTAGCCCTGGCTAGCTTCACACTCATGATCCTCTTCCTCTACCTCCCAAGTACTGGAATTACAGGGGTGTGCCAACACTGCCTATTTCTAACTACTATTATTATTATTAAGAAGACTTAGTTTAAATAAACAGTCTCTACAGAGTTCTTAAAAATGCAATCTAGGTTCAAAAACATCATTAGTGGCTGGCAGAGTGGTTCAAATGGTACAGTGCCAGCATGAGGAACTGAGTTCAAGCCCCAGAACCACAAAATAATAATAATAATAAAATATAATAATAATTCAGCTAATTACTAAATACCACCTAGGAAAAAAATGTAATCTTTACAAATCAATCCTATTCATCTCAATACCAATACATAAAACACATTAAAATAAACCCTTTTAAGTTTTGTATTTCCTTCTGATTTACTATGAACATTCATAAAAGTAAAACAATTTGCTGAACTTTACATGCATACAGCTTTTTAAAAACTGACTCTTTACCACAAAATAACATCCATATTCCGAGAAAGAGGACATCCTCCGAATTTTTCATAACGCCATTAATACACCAAAGAAATTGAGCACCAATATCATGACGTCTCATACAAAACTTTCCTATTTTGTCCCAACAGTGTCCTCTTTAGCTGTTCCCTAATTCCTCCTCCTTATCTTGGATCCAATCAATAAGCGACCACTGAATTTGGTTTTCCTGTCTAATTTTCCTTTAACTTAGAACATATCCTGTCCTTATTTTTGCTTCATGACAAGGACATTTTCTTACAGTGCAAACCTTAAAAAGAATGTCCTACAATCTAAATTTAAATTTTCTTGTTTATAATCAGTTTAAATATTTTTGTCAAGCATCGGCCCTGGTGACTCACTCCTGTAATCCTAGCTACTTGTGAGGTTGATATTGAAAGGATTCTAGTTTGAGGCCAGCCAGAATAAATAGTTCATGAGACTCCATCTCCAAAATAACCAGAGCAAAATGGACTAGAGGTGTGGCTCAAGCGATAGTGTGCCTGCTTAGCAAGCAAAAGGTCCTGAGCACAAACCCCAGTCCCACCAAAAAAAAAAAAGTCAAGCATAGTTCAAAGGTGATATTGCATCCTTCCCTTTGCATTACGTCAGCAAGCACATACTAGCATCTACCCCAGATTGGTGACGCTAACTTTCATCAGACACTTCTGAAGGGTAGAATAAAGTTTACAGAAAATACACACATGGTGGTAGTCTCAAAATAAAAACAAAACAACATTCAACCATTCACATGCTCTTCGATTAACAAAAATGAAGTTATGTTCAGAACATTTAATGTACTGGTTCTATTAATTTTTATTTATAATTTTTTTGTGGGCCTAGGGTTTGAACTCAGGGCTTCAACTTACAAAACAGACATTCTACCACTTGATCCTCACCTCCAGCCAGTTCTATTAAATTTACCTGAAGAAATATTGACAATTTCTTTAACAATGGCATCCTGGGCCTCCTCATATTCGGCTTTATTTTTAGCATATTCTTCATTGAAAGAAGACAACTCACTGCAAATACAAATATGGTATTATTTAAAAATATCAATATATTTACTAGCAGTAATGTGCATTACACAAAATGCATGTAGAATATTTGTCCTATGAAGCATCAAAACAATGATAACTAAAATTGAAATACAATTAAACCTGAAATACTGATGAGGTGCAGATGTGGCTGGAATTTGGTTTATTAATGTTCTTTTATGTTGTTTGGAATAACACAGTTCTTGCCATAACAACTATTCCCTTGATTAAAATTCCTGTCTGTGACCTTTTATAAAATATTTCAATGACATCCTCATTCAGAATGGAGGCTGTCCCCATAAAACACACACGGGTTTTTCTTATTATTGTTATCTTTTAGACTCAAAGTTTTAAAAGTAAGGAAAATGCTTTGAAAACTAAATCTTATTGAATAATTTCAACAGAAAGTAAAAATTATAGTTAGGATAAAAAATACTGAAGATGACAATAAAATGAGGAAAAAAAATTCATTGGCATGAAAAGAAGGAAATAAAATTAAGAGAAGCAAAAAGAAGGGATATAGAGGAAAGGGAAAGAGAAGTATCTGAAGTGAGGGGGTGGGAACCAGTTAAGATACATTTATTTGATTAATAGCAAGGTTTTCTTAGAAAAAATAAATAAATAAAATAAATAAAAATACATAAAGCCGAGATGTGAAGGAGAAGTAGCTCTAATGGATATAGAAACATAAAACAAGTAATTAAATGAATTATGTGTTGACAAAAGAATGGTGAGACAGCAAAGAACAGTCTTAAATAGACCCAAAGTATCACTTCAGACAATGAAGGAGAGATGTATCATGGCACTGAGACATGACTAGCCTCCTGGAAGAAAATAAAGCTTGATTCTTACTAGATGCCTCAGGTCAATGAACAAATAATATGGTAAAATTTCCTCTTTGCAGAGCATTCACATTTCATCAGTGAATCCATGAAACTACCAAATGCTTAAAACATAACAGAGGCTTGCAAACCTGTTGGTAAATTTAACACCATTCTTCTGGATATCTACTGTACTGAAGTTTTTATTGTTACGAAGGACTTTTTCTTCCTTGCAGGTTACTCGAAAGTAATATCCAAACTGTGCACTGGAATCCAATTTAATCTGTTTGCCAGGGTCCAATCCTTCATGATCAGGAAAAAAGAGAAAGTATGTCATAAATATCAGCAGCTATTTCAATGCAAATTTTAATGCCATTAAATCTAAATATACATACTTTTATTATAATTTAGCATACTGGTAATTATAAATTGGAAAAGATTCAAATCCCACTTTATAAGAAAACCATATGAAGTAAGAATACCTATGAAATCCTGACAACTCCCTATAAATGTTAGCTGATTTGGAAGCTGCTTTCTGGGCAAACCCATCAACGGCTTAAGAGCACCAGCATTAGGCAGCACACACTAATCCAGATATTGTAGGCACTTGAAGACGGGTAAGGTATGGCCCACCCTTCACGAGTTTTGTATAAGAATTCTTTTCTTAACCAAAGCTTTTCTTTAGAGCTAACATAAGGTATAATTAAAGTGACCAAATGCAATTTCAAAATAAAAACTTGAAACTGACAATGAAATTCCAGGAAAACTAGGACATGTATTTTCTTTGTGCAGAAAACTTCACAAAGTAAACAATCTGGCTGATGAGCTAGATTTTATGCATTTAATATTTTTGAGATTTTATAATTATAGTCTCTCCTCATAATTTCATTCATTGATATAATCTTTAGACTACAAACCAGAAGAGAAAATTTATCTGCTAAAGCAAGGCAACTGAGTGTTAGAAGCAACAAGCAACTAACAACAGTCCTCACTTGGCCAGAAAGGAAAGGACAGGAGAGACCCATGCAGAAATAAAATCAGACTAACTCTAATACAGGAAGTAGTGGTTACAGTGAAAACTTGCAATCAGCCATTCCCAGTCTCAAACCAAAGGACCACTCACTTTCTATTTGGCAGGATGTGAGTCATCTTGGGGACAGAAAGTTAGTTAAGATAATTGTGGTACTACTGTGGACACTACACAGACAAAGGAAGTATCCAAACCTCCAATGACCCATTCTTACCAAGCTCTCGAGCTGCACGTGATAATGTAGCCTGCATCTTCTTTTCCAAGTTATCCATTACTTCCCTTAATTCACTCAGATTGGGATCAAATGAAGGTTTGACAAGGAATTCATGGTTTTCCACCTAGGAATAGAACAAAGAAAAGCTAAATTAAATAAACAATGGGTAAAGACAGAAATTATGCAGCAAACACTGTCTTCTATTTATTTAATTTGCCTAATGTTTTAAGTTGAATGAGTCACCATCCTAAGTTACTCAATCATACTATTAAGGGGGTTCTACTTATTAACAGATGTAAAGTTCTCTTTATTAGGAACATAGTCCTAGATGTATAAAAGTATCCATGTGAAGAAGACCCGACAGTATTTTTATCGATATTTCCCCTAAACATTACTAAGAATGTTCAAAACTATAACAGAAATTGCAAAGTTAGCACTAATCCAGTACTGCAAGAAAAAAAGTACCTGTAAAAAAACTATTGGTTTTTTTCCTTCAAACTTAAAGTTCATCAAAATTTCATTATTTAAAAACATAGTCCTAAGCACTTTATTTTCTAAATTCTTCAGTATAAATCAACAAGGAACCACAGTAAAAAAAAAAAAAAATAGAATTAATTTACAATAGCAAAAACATACACACAACACTTGGAAAAAAGTCTTGCTTATATTGGACCTTTATAAGAACAACGTATTCAAAGATTTAAAGAACTGGTAAGTGAAGAGGCAAAACTATGGAAACAGAAAACTAGATCACGTATTAATAGCTCTTCATGCCTAGTGACTGTTCAATAGGTGTTCTTTCTTGAAACAAAACAAAATGACTAACTTCTAAACAAAAAAAAAAAAGAACATTAAGAATGAAGTCTATCTGTACTAGACATTAAAAATTATTAAATAGGTAATTATACATAAAAGCTTATCAGAGAGTGAGTCAGTTTTCTAAGCAAGATGATAAAAACATATTCAATAAATGAGGTAGAGATAAATTGCTCCTAATTATTATCCACTCAGAGTACATCTTCACAATCTAAAGTGAACTTTAACAAAGAACAAAGGAATTAAAATCAAATTACAGAAAGTTACCAAAAGAGGGAATAAAAATTTAAATCAACAAAATATATATTCAACTATATAAAAGATTAGTTTAAATTTTTGAATAGATCTATTTTTAAAAGATGAAAGAGTTGTACAGTCAGTTTTGCTGAAATCTTTCGAAAGGCACCATTTTCACATAAGAAAAACATCAGTTATGAAATGGGTGAACATAGGCACCTGAAACTCAGATGAGAAACAGTAAAGTAGTCCACAGGGAAATACTTACTAACTTTAAGGTACTGCTCTACAGCTTTCCCCCATGACAGGCAATGATTCCACTCCACTACAGTACTTTTTTTTTTTTTTGGTGGGGGTGGGGTTGGGGGGAAACTGGGCTTTGAACTCAGGGCTCTCTGCTTGCAAAGCAGGCACTCTACCACTTAAGTCACACCTCCAGTCCATTTTGCTCTAGTTATTTTAGAGATGGGGTCTCATGAATCCTTTGCTCTGGCCAGTTTTTTTTTTTTTTTAAGAAAAAGAAATCACCACCAAGTACAAGTGAGACTGTCATGAAATGAGTATATTCATTCACGTCTGGTAAGAAAGTAAGTTGTTATAAAATTTAAAAATGAACAAAAATGAAAATAGCCAGATGTGGTAGTGTACACCACTAGGCTAAGGCAGAAGATTGAGAGTTCAAAGCCAGCCTGGGCTACACAAGTAGATTGTCTCACAAAAATGAAAAGAGCAGCCTGGAGGTGTAGCTCAAGTAGTAGAACACTTCCTTTGCAAGCATGAAGTCCTAGTTCAAACACCAGTCAAGGAAGGGAAGGAAGTAGGGAAGGGGGTGGGGGAGGGGGGAGAGAGAGTGAGGGAGAGAAAGAAAAGAAAGATGAAATGAGATTCAGAGATATTTTGTTATATTCTTTGACATAGCAATTCTACTCTTAGAAATTTATTCTAAGGAAATAATGAAATAGAAACAAAACAACACAAGGCTGGAAAAAACCTCTACAGATTTTTCTGTTATAGCAAAATCTGAAGGTAATAAAACACAATATTTGCACAATGATTCATCAACAGAATAGATTATCATGCGGTTATTTAAAGATATAATGAAGATTATCTAGAAACAAGGACCAAGATTTATGATAATTACATGGAAAAAAGTAATGCTACAATGGTGAATTGAAACTGCTCCAGAATTCACCTCCTTCCAATGAATGAAGGAGAGGTCAGAGGCAGGGGCCAAGTTCCTATACTCACCCTCACCTTCCAGAAACCTAATGGTGAGTCAACAAATCCTGAGAATTCTCACTAACAATGACAAATGTGGAGAGAAGAAAATGGAGTGGGTATCTTTACATTTTCCTTATATAGACAGAAAGGAAGGCTGGCAAAACAGGCTCAAGTAAAACAAGGGGAAAATGAACAACTAGGTTTAGGCTTAACTTACTGAAATGTTTCAAAGGGCTTACACGTCAAATGGGACATCCTTTAGCAAAACATCGCTCCTCCCAAACAATCTGGAACAATAAAATATATTGCCCAACTAGGTATTTTAATCCAGTACAGAGTATTCTACAAACAGGGCCTCTCATCTCTACTAGCTGTCTTTTCAACAGTATCACCAATCTAGGCACTAGAAAAAGTCACTGCACAAAAAGAGACAGGATAAAAGAAACCTAGGTTTGGCACTCATAAGTGGGATGAACCAAGAAATAAGATGAAAAACAAAAAAACCATGGAAGTTAGACTTGAACCAACATCATTAAAAAACTAATAAACCAGGCACCAGTGTCTCACACCTGTAATCCTAGCTATTCAGTAGGTAGAGATCAGGAGGATCACTGTTGGAAGCCAATCTGGACAAATAGTTCATAAGACCCTAGCTTGAAAAAAACCCATTGCAAAAAAGGGCTGGTGGAGGCTCAAGTGGTAGAGCAAGCATGAGGCCCTGGGTTCAAACCCCAGTACTGCAAACTAATAAATATAACATAGGAAAAAGAAGAAATTCTGTTGAAATCAATTACCTGTTTTGAATAAGTACAAAGAGTTGCTATAATCAGAGAGAATGCATAGGAAAGATGTGAGGATTAAAGAATTAGAGAAAATTAATATGGAAAACTAGGTATCATTAGATAATTTTTTAAAAGCTCCACCTTTCAAGAAACATGATATAAAATATTATAAGCATTCTTCTAAATAAATGTATGGTTGAGTTGAAGAAAAGTAGAGCTGTAAGGTCCTGTGAAGAATCCCCAGCATAAAACCAAGGGACCATTTTTTAAATCCACTTCATGATAAATGTAGAAGGAAACATGGGGGCAGAATCTCCTCCCTGACAACGTGTGACTAAAATCCTGCCAACAATAGACTTTGAGTTTCAAATGTCTACTACTGGTGTTGGCAAAGAGGCTGCTAGTTGCTGGTTTTTTCTATCATGCCCTCCTTTTACAGTGCTAGAACAAAGAGTGCATTTCCAAGCTTCCCTTGCCATTAGGTGAGAGCTTCTGAATAAATTCTGGCCATAGAATGTAGCAGAAATGAAGTATACTGTTTCCAGAATGTGCTCTCCTTTTCCCTTCTGCCCTTTTGCATCAGCTGGAATGAAGATAAGGTGGTAAGTCACCTTGCACTTTGAGGCTGAAAGCAACATGCTAAGGATAGTGGAACAATAAGGGAAGAGCAAGGTCCCACATACAGAGGCCCTGTTTGCTTGCTCAGCCAGCCTGCCTGGCGCTGGTAAACCCAGATTATCGTGATAAAAACTAAATCTCTACTCTTGTTTAAGCCACCATTATTTACTCTGGGTTTTTTTTTCTGCAGCTCAATCTTCACCCTAATAAATCTGGAAAGCTCCAGGCTGAGAGGTAAATTTAAAAGTTTTCCTAGGGTAATTACCTTACATTGTGGGGTGTCTGGCAAAAGTAAAAGCAAATTTTATCTGGGAGTATGATTTGTATAGAAACCAGCTAACCAAGAACTCAATCTAAAACATACAAAACACCTTTTAATCTTGGCGCTGGAGAGAACAAGGTCATGAGGCAAGACAGACTTGGTGTAGTTCAGTCCTTTCTTTGCCTATCATCTCTGCACCTTTTACAAAGCTTCCAACAGCACTCGCTATGTTGGGGCAGAGCATCTGGGGTGCACAACCTCTGTGACCTCATAGACATTATGAGGAGCACCCCAAGAAGAATATACCACTTTCAGAAGAAAACAAGTGGTAGTTACTGGTTATGATGACCTTGTACTCTGGTTCTGGATTTTCCGTGCCTTTCTTTATAATAAGACATCAACTGCTTAAGAAATAAGGGTGTTTCTCTTGGGGATATACCCAAAAGACTGTGACACAGGTTACTCCAGAGGTACCTGCACATCCATGTTTATTGCGGCACTATTCACAATAGCCAAGTTATGGAAACAGCCAAGATGCCCCACTACTGATGAATAGATTAAGAAAATGTGGTATCTATACACAATGGAATTTTATGCAGCCATGAAGAAGAACGAAATGTTATCATTTGCTGGTAAATGGATGGAATTGGAGAACATCATTCTGAGTGAGGTTATCCTGGCCCAAAATACCAAAAATTGTATGTTCTCCCTCATATGTGGACATTAATCAAGGGCAAACAAACAAGGGGACTGGACTTTGAGCACATGATAAAAGCGAGAGCACACAAGGGAGGGGTGAGGATAGGTAAGACACCTAAAAAATTAGCTAGCGTTTGTTGCCCTTAACGCAGAGAAACTAAAGCAGATACCTTAAAGCAACTGAGGCCAATAGGAAAAGGGGAACAGGAACTAGAGAAAAGGTTAGATCAAAAAGAATTAACCTAGAAGGTAACACTCACGCACAGGAAATCAATGTGACTCAACCCCCTGTATAGCTATCCTTATCTCAACTAGCAAAAACCCTTGTTCCTTCCTATTATTGCTTATCCTCTCTCTTCAACAAAATTAGAGATAAGGGGCAAAATAGTTTCTGCTGGGTATTGAGGGGGTGGAGGGGAGAGGGAGAGGGTGGAGTGGGTGGTAAGGGAGGGGGTGGGGGCAGGGGGGAGAAATGACCCAAGCGTTTTA